GCGGAGGGGAGGGGGAGGGCATGATTTCTTCTGCCTGGTCCCAAGACAGCCACCGCTTGAGAGGCCACCTTCCCCTCTGTCAGCCACTGGCATCATCATCCACCCTGGAGGGGGAACAGAAGCAGGTTGCCAGCAGCTGAGGATCTGCTCCGGCCCCGCGGAGAGCTGCTCTCAAGAAGAAGAAGAAGAAGAAGAAGAAGAGCCCCCCCCTTCGCCCCTTTCGCGAGAGGTGGGCCTGCTCTGCGCCTGTGGAGAGACGCCCAACCCCTGCCCACAGAGAGGGTCCTCGATCGCTCGCAACAGTGAGGGATGCGCCACGGGTTGAGAGAGCTGGGCGCTTGCAGGGCGTGTGTGTGTGTGTGTGTGTGTGTGTGTGTGTGTGTGTGTGTGTGTGTGCACACGCCTCCTGGGAAGCCCCTTCTCCCCCCCCAGTCAGAGTGGGGAGGTCAAACCCCCTGCAGAGGCCAGGGGGGGGAACTCCTCTTGCTGGGCCAGGTGCCCTCGGGCTGAGCCTTTCCTCGGAAAGGGTTTTCCTGGACCACAGTCCGCCCCCACCCCACCCCACCCCGATCGGGGGGGGGGGAGGGCCCTCCCTGTGGCTTTGGCCATGCCTGCCACTGCCCAGGCTTCACAAGGGGCTGCCCCCCCCACCCCCAGCACCCCTTCCACCACATTATTCAAAGGGTTCAGCACAAAGGGCCGGCAGGGGGGGGCGCTCGGGACCCTGGTTCTGGCAAGGCCTCCGGAAATGGCTGGGACCTCCGTGAGGAAGGCGAGACCCCAGACGTCCTCCGTGGGTCTCCCTCCCTGGACCCCTTTGGCAGGATGGCCCTCAGCTGGGCGCTCCCCAGGGGACCCCCCCCAGGCCCTACAAGCAAGCGCTCTTCAGAAGGGGTTCGGGGGGGGCTCGTGGCAGCCCTCCCCCCTCCCTGCCTTTTTGGTCTTTGCCAAAACTGAGTCCCTCCTTGAGGCTCTTGAACGTGTGCCCCCCCCCTTCTCGCTGAAAGGGTTCCATCCAGCCCAGGAGCAGGGTCCCTTGTGCCGCCTGGGCGTGGAGTGGCCCACCCCAAAAGAGTCCGGAGCCAGAGCCGGGGGGGGGAGGGGGGCCCGCCAAGTCAGGGAAGGGGGAGCCTGACGTGGCCCCTCCCTTCACGCCCACTCTACCAGGGAGGTGGGTCTGCCCCAAAGCATTCAAGGAGCAGCCGAGAGAGAGAGAGAGAAACCCCGGCTTGTCCCAGGTCACCCCCAGAGCCCCACCGACTTGGTCGGGAGGGCTGCGGCCCAGCCAGACTCTGTCAGGGAGGGGGTGCACAAAAGCTGGGGAGCCCCCCTCTGTCTGGGGCTCCCGAGGGCTCTGGATCGGCGGCTCAGAGACTGTTCCGCCGCCGAGGAAAGCTTTCCCACCCCCAGCAGGCTGCTTGAAACCCTCCGTGACCCCAAAGCACACGGGAGGGGGGCATCCGGCCTCCTTCCTGGCCACGGCCACCAGGCCGGTTGCCAGAACAGCCGGGGGTGCCCCGAAACGGCTCGGCCCCAGCAGGCAGCCCAGGAAGTCGGAGGAGAGGGGGCGGGGGGGGGCGGAGAAGGCCCCCCCCCCCCCCCCCCCGCGCTTCCGGNNNCGCACGCCACGCGCGCACGCACACGCACACACACACAAACACCGTCATCTTTGTATCCAGCAGCCCCTTGAGGCCGGCTGGTACCTGGGGTCAAGGAGCGAGACCCCTTTCCGGCACAGCTCCAGGCGCTGCCCATGCGGACAGTCAGGAGGGAGCCCGCCCTCTCTTACCAAGCCAAAGGTCTCCTCCCCCGACCGCTGGTCATGGGACGCGCGCACGCACACGCACACACACACAAACACCGTCATCTTTGTATCCAGCAGCCCCTTGAGGCCGGCTGGTACCTGGGGTCAAGGAGCGAGACCCCTTTCCGGCACAGCTCCAGGCGCTGCCCATGCGGACAGTCAGGAGGGAGCCCGCCCTCTCTTACCAAGCCAAAGGTCTCCTCCCCCGACCGCTGGTCATGGGGGTGGAAGGACCCCTGAGACCATCTGGACCACCCCCCGCCCCTCCCGCTTGCTTAGAGAAAGGTCTGGGTTTCGGAGCGGCGGCTTGCAAGGCCTTCCACAGGTCGGTGCTGATTCTTGGGCAAACGGACCTTGCTGACCGGTTCATCTGGGCCTGATCCACCAGGAGGCGGGCCTGCTCTGCACAACCCACCAGAAAACAGAAGCCTCACACTGAGAACCCTCCCCCCCCAGCTCACCCACCCTCCCCCCCCCGCTCCGGGTTCCCACCTTCTGCCCTTCCCCACGATCTGGCAAAACCACCTGCAGCCTCGCTCCCTCGGGTGGCCGGATTTCCGGTCAAAGGCCAGGCCTCAGGCGGCTGAGGCTGACCAAGGGAAGAGACCCATGCGAGACCGAACGGGGAGCCTCCCCTGAGCTGAATTTGAATCTGGGGTCGCCAGGAAGAAGGGCGGCAACGCCAGAGCCCTGTTTCCTGCTCAGAGGGCGACCCGTACATGGGGCCAAGTTCCTTATTGTGGGGCAGACTCTGCTATCACTGCAAAAACAGGACGATGGAGAGAAAAGAAGCGGGCAACGTCCCTCACAGACAAATCCACTGCACTGCACGGAGGAGACCACAACCAGCAATACACAAGTGTGTGTGTGTGTGGGGGGGGGGGAGAAACACAACAACCTCCCCCGTTTGGGAGGCCTTGCACTCAAGCAGGAGAGGGAAATGGCCAGCTTCGCGGATTCCCTCTCGGCCACCCCACCGAAGCCAGGGCACTTCTGCAAATGGCCCCAGGCCTTCCTCAGCTCACCTGCCTCTCCTCTGCTTCTTCTTCTTCTTCCTCCTCCTCCTCCTCTTCCTCAACAGGTTCGGGAACTGTCTCCAGCCTTCAGGAGGGACACCAAGAAGCTGCTTCACAGGGAGACCTTGCACAGGATGCTGAAAAAGAGGCATCCAGGGAAAGGTGGTCAGCCCACAGCCGCTGGCGCCGCCCCTCCCCTCCCCTCGCCTCCCCAAAGCACCCTGCCTGAGACAGGGGTCAGGGAGCCATCAGGAAGGAGGCCCAGGGGCCTGGCCCAAGGCAAGGAAACACAGAGAGGGGCCCCCCTCCAGCAGAGCACCCAAGGCCACCACCCACTTGCCCCTGGGACCCAGATCGGTGGGGCTGGCACACTCATCCAACCCAGGTAACCACCCGCTGCTTCCTGCATTCTCGAGCAGCTAAGGTAAGGGCAGGTGATGCCACCACCAAGCCTGGCGATCACCATGGGGCGTCCGTAAAGTCAAACAAATGCAACGCGTGAGCAAAACAGGCAGAAAGCACACTCCCAAGCGCATGAACACCTCCAGGCCCATAGACTGCAACCCTGGGAGCCGCCGTAACACATCAGTAGAGCCGATCAGTTTACAGGCCGCACAGAAAAGCTGAAGCAGCCACGCAAGGACAGGCCACACCGGCCACGCTCCTGCACGATGGTTGGGCTCAGATGACAGTGCTGCCCCTCTGACACCCCCCCAAAAAACGGAACATGCGCTGGCCCTCAGCAGGCAGGCCTGAAAGCCAGAGAAAGCCTTGCTATGGGTCTTTTGGCCCCCAAAGAACGTGGGGGCCCCAGGGGGCTGAAAGCAGCGCCTTGAAGGGAGCCTAAGAATGAATGAATAGAATGAAAAGGGTGGGGGGCCGAAGGGGTCCACGGAGCCACACTCTGCTTGCGCAGCTTGAGCAAAACCCCAGACGAGTGCAGCCTGCGGGCCAGACCCTCTCGGGACACCCCTCGCACCCAACCTAGAGCCACCCAGGGCTTTCCACCCCATTCCACTCCAAAAACACACGGGTCCTTCTGCCGGCTTGTAACCTTTCCCTTTCCAAAAGACGTGTTTCAAGTATAACTTCCGTACATCTTTGAAATCGTTAGTCTTCACCATTCCTCTTCTCATTTGCATTTCACACGTTAACTTAACTCCACATTTCTTTGTACCAGACTTCCAAATTAGATTTTTCCCTGCTTTTTCAGTTCTTTGAGAATATTAATCTTGCTACAGTACCTATTATGACTACTAACACTTTTTGATCTTTTTTCAAATGGTCCTTCTTAATTATATTCAGGAGAGCAATACTTGGTAATATCTGAATACTGCATCCAATTTTTCCCCATTTTCCTTAAAAAAAACAGTGAGCATTTTTTCTTTCTGATGTCACATGTCCACCACATATGCAGAGAGGTCCCCCTTTTCCTTCTTGAAAACCAGACATGTTCCCCCCAGGAGGTGCCAGGCCCGAGAAGCACCACGTGGGGGGGGGGGTAAAAAAAACAGTGAGCATTTTTTCTTTCTGATGTCACATGTCCACCACATATGCAGAGAGGTCCCCCTTTTCCTTCTTGAAAACCAGACATGTTCCCCCCAGGAGGTGCCAGGCCCGAGAAGCACCACGTGGGGGGGGGGTAGGGTGGCCTCTCCCCCTGCTGTTCCCATTCACACAAACACACGCACACACACTTCCGCAACACACAGCATTCAAACAAAAGCACACCTCCTCTTGTGTGGGTCCTGCAACCGCCACATGGGCTCTCCCTCCCTTCCTAACTGGCCTTTTCGGCTGACCGGCCTGGTCCCACAGGAACGCCAGCCCTGCAGTGAAACAAGCGGGAGCCTCCCTCTGCCTCTGGGGAGGCCTGGCATAGGCTGGTCGGGGCACAGGAAAGGGCCCCCAGCAGCCTGCTTGGGGTACAGCTGCCCCGCGCATGGGGGGGAGGAGGAGGCAGCAAGGAACAGCAGTCCCCCCCCCGCATCATGCGCCAGAGCCCCATGGCTTTGCCCCCCCAAAAAACAAAACCGACTGAGACGCCAAGCTCTGTGCTCGGCCCAAGGAAAAGACGCCGCCCACTGCCAGGTACCTTTCCTCCCGGACGATCGACCTCCGCGGCCTCTCTGCTGCCCGCAGCTTCCCCAAGGGTGGTGGGGAAAGGAGGAGGCCCCTCGAGGGAAGCAAAGCCTTGCCACAGGTGAAAGGGAGACCTTGCTGCCCCCCCCCTTATCTTGACCGGATAAGGTGACCCTCACTCTCCCCACCCACCCCTCTGGCCACTGCCCTTGCAGGCGCCCGTCCACCTTGGCTCCCTTAATCTCTCCTTCGGCCTTAAGCAATGTTTAACTGGAGGGCCCGCTCCCTGAATCAGGGCCCACGCCCCACGCCTGCCTCGGCGGACGCACGCACGCAAGGAGGCAGCTGAAGGGCACCCCGGTGGGGCAGGCCAGGGGAACGGGTCCTGCCAGCGCCCGGGGGCCGGCAGCCGATTCAGTCCCAGGGGAGAAGAGGGAGCAAACAGCCTCAGTGTGCAGGCGCGCACACACCGACACCCCCCCGCCTGGGACCACAGGCTGGCCTTTGAGGCCCCTTGGCCCCAGAACCCCAAGGCCACAAAGGGAGAGGGGGAGAGAAAGGGCTGGGGGGCATCACAGGAGAGGGGCGGGCTGCAACCCCAGCCTGACGCGCCCCCCTTTCCACTCTTCGATGAGCAGTGTGTGTGTGGGGGGGGGTCCACAAAGCCAATGGTGGAGCAACAGCAGCCATTGAAATCAAGAGACCTTCCAGTCGTAAAAAAGAAGGAAGGCAGCCCAAGATGTCCCCAGAGAAGAGAATTCCAAGCGAGGGAGGGCGCCTGGCAGGGGCAGAAGCCACCCCCACCCGCACCATAAAACCCAGGAGGGAAAGACGCCTGCAGGAAGGAGTGCCAGCCCCTATTCCCCCCCCCCACAATCCCTCAGGGCTCCTCTCTGTCTTGGAGCCACCTGTCTGTCTCCTCAGGAGGAGAGGGTCCACAAACCCTGGAAAGGCTCTTCCCCCCCACCGGGACTCAGAGTGACCCCTTGAAACAAAAGGGCCGGGCAGGGAGCACTGCTCCCCCCCCTCACCCCCACCCCTGCAGGAGAGAACCTCTCCCTCCAGGGCACACTCTGTGGGGAGATCTAAATCAGCTGCAGCAGGATGTGAACCCCCCACCCCCCCCGGCTCTGGGGACAGCAGCGGGGGGGGGTGGGAGAGGGGGGGAGGGCGACCTCTCTTCTCCGCCTCCTCTTCAGGGCTCAGGGCGTTGGAAACCTCTGCCTCCCGAGAGGCCGGTGGAGGTGGATGACCACCGTGGGAAACGGAGATGCTGAGTCGCCACTTGTCGCTTAAATGTACACCCCACCTTCCCCACTCAATTCAAATAAAGACAAGGGCAATTAAAACGTAGTAAGAACCGGTTCTGAAGAACAGCCACACCGAGGGGGAAAAGCGTCTCCAGTTACAGATCAGCTCCAACGCCCAAGGCCAGGTGGTCTCTGCCGGCCGGCCTTCCAAGCCAGCCTCGGAGGGCGTTCCAGGGCCCGGGAAGCAGCTGCAGAAGAGGGAGGAACACACACACACACACATCATACACACACACATCATACACACACACCCCACTCCAGCCCTGCTTGCATTCCCCCAAACGTGCCTGTGGGAAAAAGCCTCCAGCAAATGTCTGAAGGCCGCGGCCGGCGGGCAGGAGAGAACGCCGAACTCAGGGCCACAACCAGCACCTTCGGCCGGGCCGAGGCCGTGAGGCAGGCACAAAGCCACGGAAGCCACGCTAAGGCCAGAGCGGGCTTCCCGGCCGGCAACGGCACAGCTGGCGCGCAAGACGCCCAGAAGCCATCCCGGCCATTGCCCAACCTGGGTGCCAGGGCTCAGGCTGGCAGGGACCCCTTCTCCACCGCCAGGCCTGGGACCAGGGAGCGTGGGACGGGGCACCCACTGGGAAAGAGCCCGCCCCAAAGGGAACGCCTTCGCACCGCATGCCAGGGTGGGGGGGGGGCGAAGAGGCCCCAACACCCCCTCGAGACTAGTTCGGCCATGACAGGAAGGAGGGCAAAGGGGCAGAGGGGAGGGAGGAGCCCAACGGACCCCCCTTCTCTGCCAAGCACCCACCCACCTCCAGAGACACCCACTCCCCAGAGGTGGATGTCTGCTCTTTTAGGGGCACCACGTAAGGGCAGGGAGCCACAACAGGCCGGCTGCTGGGGGGGGGAGGCGCTCCACCATCTTACTAGCTGCCCAACAGAGGATCCCCCCACCCCCAGCCTCATCTCCTGGGCACCATTTCTGAAGGGCTCCCCCCCCAGCTGTTCTGGCGACCCACCTAGGTTCCTGGGGCAGGGTAGGAAGCGGGGGGGGGAGCGTGCCCACTCACCGATCCGGCATCGCCAGCAGCAGCCAAGCCAAGGGGACAGGAGACATTTTGGGTGCGATTGACCCCCGACTACAGCGCGAGGGGCACACTTGCCACTCCGTGACCCCGTACCCCACCCCACGAGTAGTGCGAGGCTTCCTGGCATTGGGGCCCATTTCTGCCACTGCTTTTCTACGCCTGTCTTTGCCCCAGAGTTTGAAAGCAGATCAACTCGAGAGCAAGGATCCCGGAAACCAGCCACTCAAAACCACCTTCGTAGGAGGGCAGCCCGAGAGAACGGCGGCCGGAGCGGGCCTGTCTGGACTTCTCTGCTGAAACCCAGCTGGGAAGCCGCTCAAGGGACACCCTGGGGGGAGGGTCCTACAATCTGGGGGGGGCAGGACACCCCACAGGCATCTGGACAGGGTAGAACTGAGCAAGAGGCCGGCTCCTTCGGCCACTCCCAGGTTGAAGGAGGTTCATACCAAGCGCTTCAGAGCGACGAACCCGGGAGGGGGGGGGGCGTTTTCAGGCTCAAGCCATATTCTAGGGCCTCCTTTGGACAACGGGGGAGCCTTACCAGCAGCCTCCCAAGCACGTCGCCCGACAAGGATCTAATCTCAAGGCTCTGCAGAATCCTTTGGGGAGGGGGTTGGAC